TCCAAATACAGCAAGCCTGTTTTCTAGTGACACATTGCTCTATATAGCAGCAGAGCACATGGAGGCTAAGGCCATCATTTTTCAACAGTAAATCACTGCCAATCTTACTAGACCACTTTCTATAACTCATCCTTCATACCTCTTCCTTTGGCTCCACCCTAGAATGCCCTGGGCCTTACATTTCCTTCTAGTCTTAAGGGATCTATTAACAGAAGTGTTTGCTGGTTTTGTGCCTTCTGATTCAACACCCTGTGTCTAGCTGAGAGCTAAAAATACCATCCTTTCCAGCTGATCTGCCCTAATCACAATAGCACCAACACTTAAAATAGCTTTTCTTTGCTAGTGTAGACATTTACAGATGAAGCGAGTACTGAGGGCTACAGGAAGTCATAGCCTTAAAGGACTTTTTACCAGTCTAGCTTTAGGCTTTTACTTTTGCTTTTTCATCTCTTTTTAAAAAGAAGAAAAAAGGAAGATATCTTCCCAAGGCTTAGTAAATAGTCAGATCTTGATAGAAAATATAGATGATTGGGAGCCAATGATGACACTGATTTTTAAATACTGGAAAATTTTAGATAAGAAGTAGCCAGATATTCATGTTTATAGTCCCAAGTACTTGGAAGGCATAGGCAGACTAGCCAGGGCAAAGGTAGCAGCACCACCCTATCTCAAAAACAATAACAATGAGAGCTGGAGGGTTGGTTTAAATGGTTCAATATTTGCCCAACAATCATAAAGCCCCAGAGATTAAGAACTACAAGATTCAAGGACTACAAGCAACAAAAATAAATAGAAACAGAGCTGGGGGCATGCTCAAGCAGTAGAATACTTGCCTATTATGCAGCAGGCCCTGAGTTCAGTTTCCAGTACTTCCAAAAGAAGTTGTTTATAGCCAGGCACCAGTGGCTCATGCCTGTAATCCTAGATATTCAGAGGCTGAGATCTGAAGATCACAGTTCAAAGTCAGCCCAGGCAGGTAAGTCCGTGAGACTCTTATCACCAATAAGCCACTCAGAAAACCAAAAGTGGTGCTGTGGCTCAAGTGGCAGAGCACTCACCTTGAACTGAAGAGCTCAGGGACAGCGCCCAGGCCCAGACAAGCCCCACAACCAACAAAAACAAAAAGTTGTTTCTTCTTTTATTTTTAGGTAAGACAGGTTCTGAGGGCTAGGGCACATAGCTCAAGTGGTAGGGCACCTGCCTAGCAAGCACAAGGCCCTGAGGTCAAACTCTAGTACAAAAAAAAAAAGATGTTGATGATTTATTGCTTAGGGTATAGTACAGGGAAGAACAGTCTGGGCAACACTCCTTAGACTTTATCTCAAAAAATGAAAAGAAGAGGAAGGTTCTAAATGGACAGGACTACTATTTCCTACTGCTAGTTGTTTCTATACGTATTGAGATCTGGTTGAGCAAGTAAGTGTTCTGCAAAGCTCAGAGATAAGGTTACTCTGTTGTCACTAGTTAGGCACTGTAGTGAGAAATACTTCTTCAAGCATAAACACTAGATAAAACTGAGTTCAATTTCTGTTTCCTTGCATTTCTTCCAAATCTTTGGCACATGATACCCTTGAGTTCAAGCTCCAGTACCAGAACAAAAAGAAAAATAAGACTTTTCTAGCTAGCACTTCATTCTAGTTTGTTTGCTCAGGTGGTAACAAATGATCTTTTCAACAGACCTAGTGGTTTTGATACAAATTCTCCCATTCCCAAACTCTGCTTGAGTTACCTTCTCTTTTTTTCTCCCCAGCCCTGGACTTGAACTCAGGGCCTGGGCACTATCCTTGAGCTTCTTTGTGCTCAAGGCTAGCGCTCTACCATTTGAGCCACAGTGCAACTTCTAGCTTTTTCTGAGTAGTTTATTGGAGAAAAGAGCCTCACAGACTTCCTTTATTGACCTTATATAAAGAAGAAAGGTGAAAGATAACCATATTCATACCTTGTAAGAGTTCAAACACCAGATCTAAAAATCTAAACTTATGGAAGGAAACAAACCAGAGGAAATTACATCTTGAAGCTGGTGTGATGGTATTTGACTATTTTTCTTTCCCCTGTACTTTGGGGCAGATCTCGGTGTCTTATGCCTGAGATTACATCATTAGCACACATTGAAATAATTTGCATTCCCAAAGACTCAAAACTGCAAGTTTCTATCCTGTTGCCCAAGAGTTCGTATCGTTTCTCAAGAAGTCTATTCCTAAAGCTTCCTTATATCTGGCTCCCATTGCCACCAGTTTTTTGTTTGTTGTTGGTGGTGGTGTTTTTGAGATGAGTCTTACATATAGGCAAGACTAGTCTCAAATTCCTTATCCTCTGGCCTTAGCCTCCCAAGTTCTGGGATTACAGACCTATACCACCACCATTGTCACTCTGTATATTTAGCAGAGTCCAATTATCCTTTAGGCTATAAATCTTCAAATTCAAACTTGGTACCTGAAATGTATAAGCTATGGGAATAGTTCAGTGGTACAGCACTTGCTTAGCATGCACAAGGCTCTGAGTTCAATCCTCAGTCCTGCAAAAATTAAAAGTAGATAAAAGGTCTAAAACATGCATACTTTGTTATAGAACTCTCCTTTCATTTAATCCTCTAATAGAAATCACAATACAGCCATACTGTCTGAGCAAAACCAAGTTCCTGGCCTGTTACTCTTACACAAGTGGTGAAATCTTCATAAGTCTATAGCATCTGTGTATAGCCTACAATGTATACCTATGCAACAGGAAGACTCCTTTTTGGGTTGTTTTTTTTTTTTGGTCAGTCATGGGGCTTGAACTCTGGGCCTGGTCGCTGTCCATGATCTCTTTAGTTCAAGGCTAGTGCTCTATCGCTTGAGCCATATCATCACTTCGTTTTCTGGTGGTTAATTGAAAATAAGAGTCTCAAGGACTTTAGTGTGTGGGCTGGCTTTGGACCACGATCCTCAGATCTCAGCCTCCTGAGTAGCTAGGGTTAGGCTAGGCGTCAGCCACCAGCGCCCATACAACAGAAAGACTCTTGAACAAAGGTTCCTACCATGTGTAGCTTTCACAACTAAAATCAAGCCCCTGTGTATTTAAGACAGTTCTGTCAAAAGGCAGTAGCCAAACTCCCAACTGGTGATGGTGCTTAGCAACCAGGTGTAAATTGTAAGAGCCCTTAACTGTGGTGAGAATAATAAATGACATCTTAGTGCCTCCTCCACATAGCTATCACTGATTTGAGTATGGAAGGACATCACAGTAAGACACACCTCCAAAAGCAGCCTACATCAGAGCAGAAGGTAGCGTTATGGAATATTGCTAAGTCAGGATCTAAATCAGAGACGTCTTCACAGATACTGATGACAGGTTATCTGTTGTATCCCTGATGGGACATCTTCAGGATCTCTGTGCTAGGAGCTTACTGTTTATGAGGGTAGTGGCTGTCCACCATGACTTCCTTTTCCTAGAGAGCACTAGAATATGACAGATTTTTATGTGGGAGAATTTAGTTCCTAGAGTAGGCATGAGTAATTTGAATTCTCATCAGAAATGAACATAACAAACAGTTAACAAGCTGTGTTTGTCATCTCTGTTCTTAAAGTTTCTTATCTTAAAAATGCTGTAGCGGGGCTGGGAAGGTGGCTCAGTGGTAGAGCACTTGCCTTGCATGCCTAAGGCCCTGGGTTCGATTCCTCAGCACCACATAAGAAAAAAGCCGGAAGTGGCGCTTTGGCTCAAGTGGTAGAGTGCTAGCCTTGAGCTGAAGAGCTGAGGGACAGCGCCCAGGCCCAGAGTCCAGGCCCCACGACCGGACCCAGAAAAAAAAATGCTATAGCATCTCACAAAAAGAGAAATGATCTTTACTTATGAACTCCTGTGTCTCTGATGCTGTAATCCTGAGTAAGAGTCAAATTCAAATATATGCTTATCCTTTGGTGTCTCCACACTTCCATCTGACTAGGAGTTGCATCGGGGATTTGAGAGTCTGACAGAAGTCACCTTTGCACATTCTATCATCCCCAATCTTTGTTGACACATTGTTTCATTATTTATTTAGAGGTCTGTTATCTTAATTTATTTGCTTGCTAGGCTTGGTGATACATGCTACAAGAAAATCTAGATTGAAAATTTGAAGCCAACCTACACAAAAAATTAACAAAACAAAATGCAAAACAAAAGGGATGGGACTTTGGTTCAAGTGGTGAAGTGCTTACCCAGCACACATAGGGCTCTTGTTCAATCCTTGATACAATCATCTGATAAATCAGTTGCCTTTTTTTGTGTGCCAGTAATGGGACTTGAACTCGGGGCCTGAACACTGTCCCTGAACTTTTTTGTTCAAGGCTAGTGCTCTACCACTTGAGCCATAGCTCCACTTCTAGCTTTTTTTTTTTTTTGGAGGTTAATTGAAAAGAGTCTTACTTTTCCCGGCTGGACTGGCTTTAAACTGTGATCCTCAGATCTCAGCCTTCTGAGAGCTAGGATTACAGACATGAGCCAACAGCACCTGACCCAATTTCCTTTTGTAGGGAAAAAGAAAAACTTCTTGAGCATTCAGATTAATACATTTGACTTGAAAGAACTTCATTCTGTGTCCTTTTCTGATCCTGGCAATTGAGGTCCAAGTGGATCACTGTGAAGTAATGGTGACTTTGTGTAGAAGTGTTGTGGATTTGATCAAAAGCTTGATCCTAGTATTCAAGAAATGAATATCACCAAAACAGCCACTGTGGCACCCCATACACTTTTCACAGCATTTTCACCCATCTAGCACTAGTTTAATCTTACTAAAACATCTTTAGGGCCATCTTTTTCACAGCCTGTAAGTAACTCTTAAACTAATAGTGCACTAACTGTCTGAGAATCCGATAGTTCGGGACTTGATAAACCTTCATTTTGCTGTTTGTGAGGGAGAGGTTTCCTGAAATAGCACAGATGCACACATGATGGTACTTGATCATATGTGGCTCTTAAACAGTGTTGAGAGAGTGCATTTGTCTGAAATGTAACTGAAGCTTTTGCATTTACATTTCTAGATACTGTTTCCAGCAAGTTGCAAAACAATAATGTCTACACTATTGCCAAGAGGAATGTGGAAGGGCAGGACATGCTGTACCAATCCCTGAAGCTCACTAATGGCATTTGGATTTTGGCCGAGCTGCGTATTCAGCCAGGAAACCCTAATTACACGGTAAGACCTTTCCCAGAACAGGTGAGATGAATTAGAGAAGGTTGCAAAGGCTTAGAAGGGAGGTGCTTCAGACTTGAGAAATCTAAAACAAGCAGTCCACAATCCTGAGGAACTTAAAACTAAAGAGGTCCTCAGCTGCCTTGATGAAGACCTTCCTGCTGCAGTGCTGCCCCAACCACAAGAATAGTGCTGTGGCTCTGGAAGCAGGGTATGCAACAAACTCATCCCTCTCATTTTGGGAGCTTATGACCTAAAGATATTAGAGTCACAAGCACATGACCCTCTTACCCATGAGAGGAGAGGTAAGGCAGAGTAGAAGACACTCGGCAGCCTGTAAGTGAACCTTCTCAAAATAAAGATTATGATAGAGGAAGAATCAAGACACCTGTCAATGAATTACATAATTCTAAACAAGTCATTCATCATTCTTAATCATGGTTTCCTTAACCAGGAGGGCATTTTCCAGCCTACCAGTTTTCCCTTTAATTTGGAAAACTTCCTTCAGTACTACATTAAAGGAACTAATATAAAAATTCTGGTACTACTTTATAGGGTACAAGCTTCATTGAACAGCAAAGATTGACTCCTTAAGCACTGGTCATTTGTTTGCTGTTATATAATGTTCTCCAGTAATCTGCATTTTGTAAAATGAAGGACAGACCCTTAAGATGAAGGGAAATACGTTATCTTGTAGTATAAAGTATTTTGAAAGGTAAGAGAAAAGTGACAGAGAGGAGAAGAGGCTCAGTGTTTATTAGTTCTGAGGAAGGTGAATAATAACCATTTAGCTAAGAAAAGGATGTGGCCTCATTTTTCTTTTCTCTCTTTTTTTTATTAAATAATTGTACACAGAGGTTTCAGTTCCATAAGTTAGGTTATGCAGTACATCTTAGTATCACCTCTTTTATCATTCTTCTCCATTTTCCTCCTCCCATTCCTGCCCTCGTTACATAGTTCATTTTTTACATAATGTGAATATAATGCCTGTATTTGTGCACCCTTCCTCCCTCCATTCCTGTGCTCACCATTGCCCCCACCAAAAAAAAATTGTTTCTACCTCCTGGTGTTTGTTTTGTATGCCATATTTTAGTCAGTTTTCGTGAATATGCATAAAACCCTGTACATGTTATTATGTATGTTGTAATTTAGATCTAACTTCCACATATGAGGGAAAACATACATGTGACCCTATTTGTTAACTTTGTCAACTGTCTTTTCACTAGTGCATATCCAGAACTGTATTTTTTTCTCTACTGGTTCTCTTTCTTGAAGTAAGCTGGAATGGGCAGTCCCAAGTCTGTACGTGTATGCACATGGGTGCATGTGTGTGTGTGTGTATGTGTGGTGTTGTATCCTGTCAAGTTAAAGGCCTCCTCCATAAAGTATACTTTCCTCCATTTCTGTTCCCCCACCAATCTCTTGTGTTTTTGGAGAGTAACTTACTCTGTCATTTGCTAAGTTCCTCAAAAAAGGAAACCTCTGAAATATGGCTGAAAGGACATATTTTCACTGTAAGATCCCCAAGTCCTGTTAGGTGTGTGTGCACACGTATTTCTCACTCTTAGCTGACTTGAGCCATGCCTCCAATTCTGGCTTTTTGCTAGTTATTTGGGCAAAAAGGAGTTTCTCAGGCATGTCTGGCCAGGCTGACTTCAGTACTTCTTATATCTCAGCCTCCTAAGTACAAGCTTGAGTCACCTGCACCCAGCTGCTTGCATTTCTTTTTTTTTTTTTTTTGGTGGGGGTCCGGTCATGGGGCCTGAACTCTGTGCCTGGGCGCTGTCACTCAGCTCTTCAGCTCAAGGCTAGTGCTCTACAGCCACAGCGCCACTTCCGGCTTTTTTCTTTTTGCTTATGTGGTGCTGAGGAATCGAACCCAGGGCCTTAGGCATGCAAAGCAAGCGCTCTACCACTGAGCCACCTTCCCAGCCCTGCTTGCATTTCTTGATGTTTACTGAACTATATTCTTTATTTTGAGAAGGGCTTCTTGGTACCTTGGTATCACTGTTATAAATATAGTTTGTGTAAAAATTTTAGAACCTTATGTCATGAGTTTTTTTTAGTGGGACATAGAGTACTGTGTCTCTTTTTCCCAGTTTTTCCTATTTACATCTTATATACTGGTATTATATTTTCAAAACTAGAAAATACCAGTGTTCACACCTATAATCCTAGCTACTCAGAGGCTGAGATCTGCAGATCACAGTTCAAAACCAGCCTGGGTAGGAAAGTGTCTGAAACTCTTTTTACAGCCAGTCACCAAAAAAGTCAGAAGTGGAGTTGTGGCTCAAGTGGTAAGAGCAATAGCTTTGAGCCGGGCGCTGGTGGCTCACGCCTGTAATCCTAGCTACTCAGGAGGCTGAGATCTGAGGATCGCGGTTCAAAGCCAGCCCGGGCAGGAGAGACCATGAGACTCCTATCTCCAACAAACCACCAGAAAACCGGAAATGGCGCTGTAGCTCAAGTGGTAGAGCGCTTGCCTTGAGCTGAAGAGCTGAGGGACAGCGCCCAGGCCCAGAGTTCAAGCCCCACGACCGACAAAAAAAAAAAAAAGAGCAATAGCTTTGAACAAATAAGCTTAGGGACAGAGTTCAAGCCCCAGGACCAATGTACTTGTACACATATGCATGTGTACACACACCAAAAACCTACAAAATAGGTATAATGCACTGTAGTTAACTAATAGACATTATTCAGATTTTACCAGGTTTTTGTCATTTTTTTTTTTTTTTGGTTGGTTGTTGTTTGTTTTTTGTCGGTCATGGGTCTTGAACCTCAGGGCCTGGAGGCTGTCACTGAGCTTTTTCGCTCAAAGCTAGTGCTCTACCACTTTGAACCACAGCACCACTTGTAGTTTTCTGGTGATTAGTTGGAGATAAGAGTCTCACAGTTTCTGCCCAGGCTGGCTTGGAACCTTGATCCTCAGATCTCAGCACCCTGAGTAGCTATTTGGAACCTTGATCCTCAGATCTTAGCACCCTGAGTAGCTAAGGTTATAGGTGTGAACCACTGGTGTCCAACCACTTTTTTATATTTCATACTCTCTGGGCTTTTTTTTTTCCAGTCACAGTACTACATACTGCCCAATCCCTTTTTTGGATTGGGCAGTATGTAGTACTATGCAATTTTATCATTTGACTAGAAGTGTATAAGTTCACCTACCACACTGCACTTAACCACTTGAGCCATGCCTCAACTCCTCTTTTTTGCTGGTTATTTTGAATAGACACTAACAAACTTTTCTGCCTGGACTGGCTTCAAACTGTGATCCTCCATATCTCAGCTTCATAATTAGCTAGGATTACAGGCATGAGTCACCTGCAATCAGCAAGTTTGTCCTTATTTGTGATCAAGAAGTAGTTGACAATATGCATAGACCATGGGCTCCATATTAACTGAAGAGGAATAGAGATACTGGAATTATAACTGTTTTGCCTGAGCCCTCCTATATATTTTGTTATTTTGTTTAATTTGTGTTTTGAGAGAGTTACAGATTTGCACATGGTTCTAAGAAATAGTGAGTGAGCTTTTCCTATAGAAGCCTGAGGAGTTCTCTGAAAGTGATCTCTATTCACTTAAAACATAAGCATGCAAATGAAGATATTTGGGTCTTCATGGGCACTTTCAGAACACTTGAAAGTATCCAGGCTATCAAAAGGCATTCCTACCCAAAAAGCCACACACACAAAGTATCTTCAAGCTGACACTTTGCAGAAGCCCTGTGTGCCATTCCATATTACAGTGGTGGAGTTGGTAGGTGTGCCTAAGCCAAACAGTGGAGCCACAGAGTCAGTGGCCTAAAAAGAACACTGAATGCTGCTGTACATGTTTGAAAATGCAGAATAGAGCCAGGCACCGGTGGCTCACGCCTGTAATCCTAGCTATTCAGGAGGCTGAGATCTGAGGATCACAGTTCAAAGCCAGCCCAGGCAGAAAAGTCCGTGAGACTCTTAGCTCCAATAAACCACTTGAAAACTGGAAGTGGCGCTGTGGCTCAAGCAGTAGAAGGCTCGCCTTGAGCTGAAGAGCTTAGGGACAGCGCCCAAGACCAGAGTTCAAGCCCCACGACTGACAGAAGAAAAAAAAAATGCAGAATAGTGCTGAACTTAATGCTTTAGCTGGGGTAGGGAACTGGTTTTTTTCTGCCCATGACAATTAAGATACTTAGAAACTTCTATGGACATAAAAAATCATCAGTGCAGTCAGACAGCTGACTAGAAGCATACATGTCTGCCTTCTCATATACCAAATGATTTTGACATATGGCCCATGGGTCAGATGTTCCCCACTCATATTTTGAACTGGTAATTAGATATGTCCAGGTGAACAAAGACTCGAGTTGAGTATTGTGCTATACAGAGCTCATAGCAAAGTTAACCCATGCACGAGCTTTCTCCTTGTATGAGATGATCCTCGTTAAAAGGCAGCACCTGACTTAGGTCCATTGCCCTTAAGCAGTGCTCTAGACATCAAAATCACCCAGATTCATTGCCTTCCCTCCATCACCTTCAAGACCCATTCAATACACCATTGATCTTATCTCAGCTTCTATTTAGGAGGAAAGAAGTCCACTTGAGTCAATAACAGTGCATAAAGAACTGATGGTGTCTTGGAATCCTAAGAGATAAAACACCTTTCCCCCAACCCTGACTCCTGTTTTATTTCATTAAGAAAGTATGTTTAGCCAGGTGCCAGTGGCTCACGCCTGTAATCCTAGCTACTCAGGAGGCTGAGATCTGAGGACCTCGGTTGAAAGCCAGCCTGGGCAGGAAAGTCCATGAGACTCTTAATCTCCAATGAACCACTCAGAAAACCAGAAGTGGCGCTGTGGCTCAAGTGGTAGAGTGCTCGCCTTAAGCTGAAGAGCTGAGGGACAGCTGCCAGGCCCAGAATTCAAGCCCCACGACGAAGGAAGGGAGGGAAAGAAAGAAAGAGAAAAGGAAGAAGGAAAGAAAGAAAATAAGTAAGTTTAGTCAGGCACCCATGGCTCACATCTGTTGTAATCCTAGCTACTCAGGAGGTTGAGATATGAGGATCATACCTGGGCATCCATGAGACTCTTATCCCCAGTAAACCACCAAAAAACCAGAAGTGGCCTTATGGCTCAAATGGTAGAGTAGCCTTGAGTACAAAAGCTCAGGGACAAAGCCTGTGCTTTAAGCCCCAGGACACATACACACACTTACTCACACACACACACACACACTCTCTCTCAACACACACACACACACACACAGAGGGAAAGGAAAGGATTGCCTCTGTAGGAAGCCAACACACACACACACACACACACACACACACAGAGGGAAAGGAAAGGATTGCCTCTGTAGGAAGCCAACACACACACACACACACACACACACACACACACACACACACAGAGGGAAAGGAAAGGATTGCCTCTGTAGGAAGCCAAAAGATAAAGAAGTGCCTAAAGATGCAACTTGAACCAAAGAAGGAAGGGTTTTTTCTACACATATTTATATTCTTACTATTGGTTGGTTGGTTGCTGTGTTTTGGGTTTTTACACTCATTGGAATTACTTTCCTGGATGATATTAAGCAGCACTTTAGGAAATGCCTTGAAGAGTTAAGCTCTAAATATAATATTTTTTCTTTTTTTTTTAACTAGCATGTATTTGTTATATAAAGGGTAGAGTATCTTTTTTTTTGGGGGGGGCAGTCATGGGGCTTGAACTCACCCTGGGCACTGTTCCTGAGCTCTTCAGCTCAAAATAAGCACTCTACCACTTGGGCCACAGGACCATTTCCAGTTTTCTGGTAGTTAATTGGAGATAAGAGGTGGAGGGGGGTGGGGGGAGGCCGCTGGGAAGGTGGCTCAGTGGTAGAGTTGCCTCACATGCATGAGGCCCTGGGTTTGATTCCTCAGCACCACATAAGCAGAAAAAAGTCAGAAGTGGTGCTGTGGCTAAAGTGATAGAGTGCTAGCCTCAGCTGAAGAGCTGAGGGACAGCGCGCAGGCCCAGCGTTCAGGTCCCCACACCAACCAAAAAAAAAAAAGTCTCTTAGACTTTCCTGCCTGGGCTGGCTTTGAACCATGATCCTCAGATCTCACCCTCCTGAGTACTAGGATTCTACAGGTGCCTGGCCTTGAGTATCTTTTAATGATTTCTTTTGATTGGGTTTGTTTTTATTCATCTTTACTTTTTATTTTTTACTTTTTTGGGGTTCAATCGTGGGGCCTGAACTCTGGGCCTGGGCGCTGTCCCTCAGCTCTTCAGCTCAAGGCTAGTGCTCAAACATTTGAGCCACAGTGCCACTTCCAGTTTTTTTCTTTTTGCCTATGTGGTGCTGAGGAATCGAACCCAGGGCCTCATGCATGCAAGGCAAGCATTCTACCACTGAGCCACCTTCCCAGCCCATCATCTTTACTTTTTTAAAGGTACCTTCTTTTTGTCAAGGTTGGCCAGTATTTTTGTACCTTTGATACTATTTTAAATCATCCAGCATCTCTAATGAGAATTAAAAGGTAATTAAAAAAAAAATCAGCTGGACACCAGTGGCTTATGCCTGTAATCTTAGCTACTCAGGAGACTTTGATCTGAGGATTCAGATTCAGTTCAGATTCAGCCCAGGCAGAAAAATCTATGAGAGTCTCTGAGTCTCTTATGGACAATTAAGTATTCAATAAGCCAGAAGTGGAGCTGTGGCTCAAATGGTAGAGTGCTAGCCTTGAGCAAAAAAAGCTCAGGGACAGCACCTAGGTCCTGAATTCAAGCCCCAGGACTGGCACAAGAAATTAAATCTCTTAGAAATACATGATTAAAAATAGGCGTTTTTCTTTTTTGCCTGTCCTGGGGCTTGAACTCAAGGCCAGGGCATTCTCCCTGAGCTGCTTCTGCTCAAGGCTATCACTCTACCACTTCAGCCACACTTCTACTTCAGGGTTTTTGATAGTTTATTGGAGATAAGAGTCTTACAGACTTTCTTACCCAAGCTGGCTTTGAACCACAGTCTTCAAATCTTAGCCTCCTGAGTAACTAGGATTATAGGCAGGAGCCACTAGCACCTGACTAAAACAACTTTTGTTACCCTTCCCTAGTACATTAAGCATTGATGTCAGTAATACAAAATGTATATCTTCCTGGTTCTAAAATGCATTTCAAATGCTTATAACATGCTATTATTGTTGATAGGATTTTGTCTAAGCTATTAGTGTTTAAGGGTTTAAATTTTGTCTGCTCACAGAGTTAAATGCTCAGATTCAACATTGAAATCTTTTAATATTGATGTTTACCTTGATGATGATTATATTAAAAGAACAACAGTAGGAGAGGAGTAGAGTGGTATTGGAAATAACTGACTTGCATGTCTAACAAGGCAGAAAATGAAAGAATTAAATGTTTGACGTGAATGGTTGTCCAGCCATACTGAGTGTCCTTTTGTGTTATCATTCTCCATAATACACAAGAGTCCTAGTGCCTTGAATTTACCTTAGGCTTTTATGCAATGGCTTTTTTACCTCCTGAGGGACAGAGGCAGAGAAGTAAAATGACTGTTGCTAAGCCAACGGGTTTCTTTTGGTAATGACGCCCCACAACTCTTGACAAAGCATCAGAGCATCTTTTCATCCTGTAATCAGGTTTCCTGCCTCATAGACCCATATAGAATGTAGCACAACTAGACATTGGTATTATTGAAATTACAAAATGCTCACTATTAACATAATCTTGTGTTGGTCCACTCTTGGAATAGAAGGTCTTCTTTCATTGCGTCAGAAGTTGACTAAATGTGTGGATAACTTTTCATTGTGGACCTCCATGCTAATCTTCCTTCTCTTTTCTCTCCAACAGCTGTCGCTGAAGTGTAGAGCTCCTGAAGTCTCTCAATACATCTATCAGGTCTACGACAGCATTTTGAAAAACTAATAAACTGATCCAGTAACCCCAGCCACCCTGTGATCGGTGCAGACCAAGAACTCTTTAACTGGAAAGACATTGTACTGTTGTGTAGAATCCTAACCCAGTCAATCATAATGCAGCCACCCACCCTGGTAGTGACCAGTCTACCCTGTGCTGACATTAAGCATACCCTGTTGGATAGTTTTTAGCTTCCTGTGAGCATTTGTAGCCACTGCTTCAGTCACTTCTCAACCTCTGCACTTCTCCATCCTTGCTTGTGAGCTTTTCCAGGCTGTGCCGAATGGCTGGCTTTTTCTACACCTCTTTTGAGTGTAGTTTAATATTTTGTAATTGAAAGCGCATTTCAAAAGCAGAAAGGACAACAAATATTAAAGCAAGGAAAAGTGTCACTGAAACATAAACTGCACTTTATTGTTTTATACTTTTGTACATATGAGAAATTGAGGTGGAATAACCAGAAGAAAGTGTTGAAACAACTGACCACTTTTAACTGCAGTCTTAGAGGAAGAGATACAATGACCACCCGACTCTGTGAGGACCTTTTATCTGTTGCAGCCTTGTCCCTGGTCATTTGGATTCTCAGAGGTGGTAGTTTAGGTTTTTATTCCTCTCCAAACTCCAAACCTTCACACTTCCCTTGCCTCTTACCTCATTGCTCCACAATGGCATTTCATTGAATGGTGCTTCAGGGTGCAAGAAGTATAGGGCCTGGCCTGTCAACTCCAAAACTGAGAGAAGTTAGAGTTTTCTGCATTCCTTTCCACCAAACTAACATTGGCAATTAAGGAGGCTAAGTAGAGATGGAAAACAGGAACCAAAATGCCCTCTCCCAACCTTGTTCCCTGTATTTTTCAGGTCCAAATCAGATCAAATCAGACAGATTCACCATTGAAATAGACTTTGATGGCTTAGCCAATCCCATCTTTCTATGAAGGAGAAAGCTAACCGGGACAAATGTCATTGTTTCTGAGGCTTGTCAGCTATCAGGTAGCAGAGCTGAGGCTGCTCCAGCCCTGCTGTTTTCACTGCAGGACTGTCTCCTGCTGTTGCTTTCCTCAATGCCCTCCTCTTTTCCTTTCCCTGCCCCTTTCTGCTCTGTAGCTCTTATCTCCTCCATGCTGACTTTGGCACCATGTCTGTTCAGTGGCGTTGGATAGCAGCAGAGCATCTTTTCAGTCACTTAAATGTATATACAATGCCAGAATAAAGGGGTGGCTAATGTTTTTTGAGGCCAGCTGGCAGGTACATAGAGGAAGTGAACTGAGAGATGTCTGTTTATCTTCTACATGACTTGAGCTCCAAAACAAATTAGGATCATCCTGGAAGGTCAGGTAGTTCTTGTCATTTTTCAGAGGCCTTGGAGATGTGAAAATCTTCTCCCAGACACATCAAGGATGATTTGTCCAAAAAATTATGCCCAATACACCACCCTGCTTAATAGTGCTCACTGTTTTGATCTGTGAGCCCGTGAGGCAGAGCCTCCATGACCATGATAACTCTTCTCAGATCTCTGCTGGATTTCGAAGCACTCCAGGGTCCAGAGGCCTTGTATTGGACTCAGACCTAACCCACTGGGCTCAGGATAGTGGGAAATGATCAGAAGCCAACCCCCTGCCACACTGTGCCTGAAATGACCTTGTGTCACACCAGTTGCAAAGCTTGGGGGCAAGTGGGTGCTGTAATTCAGTTACTTAAACCTTGAGGATCTTCAAAAGAAGAATTACTGGGTGGGGGAGTGAAAATACATCCCTCTCTTACCACCCCTCAGGCACGTGAGAAATGGGAAATAGCACAGGAGTGTGTGGGAGGTGGGTAGGTTGGTGATGTGTGGGGTGGAAAAGCAAGTTGACAAAGTTTCCTTATTGGGACTCATTCATAGAGGCCATTGGAAACAAGTAGTGTAAAAGATTCACACTACAAACAGTGTTCTCATTTCAAAGCAAACTGTAATTCCAGAAGGAAGAATATGTGTCAGGGCATGCAGGTGGAACATGGTGTTGGGCTAGGACATGTCCCCAACCCCTGAAGCAAATGTCTCTCCACCTCCCCACCAGTGGTGCCAACAGCTTCTGTGCGCCAAATGGCAGTGTCTACTCCATGGGAAGGCTGCCTTCCATTGCATCCCAAGCAGGGTTAGGGAAGACTGCTTCACATAGAGGACCTCTGTCCTGAAGAGATTGTTGTTACCTCCACCACAGCTTCCTGGCCAGGTTAGTGGGTAGAGTGGAGTTTGCCCAGCACCCTCTTCTCTGCCTAAGTATCTAAGGACAAAGGAGCAAACTCACACCCAGTACTCTTGCTGGTCAGAGATTCCCTAACCATCTGTCCTCACCCAAGCCTGGGCTGTGTGCACACATGTGTGTTGTGAAGCTTGGGGCTCTGGAGAGAGCTGGGGTTGTGGGTAAAGGTTATATGAATACTCATTCTAATGTTCTTGTTGGTATCTGTTCTTGGGGAGGGAGGGGTTTGGGGGAAGCTTGATCTTGTGTCTTCGTCAATAAACTCATTTACACAAAATAAAGTGTGTGGTGCACACTTTGTTCCCAGAACTGACACTCTAGGACAGTACAGCTGGCCAGGGGAGGGACAGAACAGTAGTGTTCATTCTTTGTTAAAACTTTTTAGCCTCCCTAAGCCCTCCCAGGGATTTAGCCAGATGAAATTACAGTTGACTTGAAGAAGAGACCTTAGGGAGGCGCCTACAGGCCTTACCTCCAGGCACCAGGCAGGAGTGCCAGGAGCCAGTCTTCCTGGCAGGTGTTCCCAGGGGCAACAGGCAGAGCAGCAGTACAGCAGCTTTTCTTTTCTGACTTGGGGGTAGGCAGCCAGCCAGCAAACCCATGTAGCTGAGCTGTTCCTCAGGTTTCCATTATGCTGAACGAGGACCCTCACTCAGCTCTCAACTTCCAAAGCCTCTCAGACTTGGAACTCAGGGCCTACATGTTCCCAAATAGAATTGCCACACCTTAAGCAGGTGCCTGTGGCTCACACCTGTTATCCTAGCTTCTCAGGAGGCTAAGTTCCGAGCAACCTGATTCAAGCCTGCTTAGGAAGACCTACCCAACAGACAGTTAACCAGCAAAAAGCAGGAAGTGGAGGTGTGGCTCAAGGTTTGAGCAGGAAAAAATTGTAAGAGTATAAGGCACCAACACACAAAGCTTGAAAGCAAGCTTCCCAAGGACTTTGAGGTTAGTAACATGTATTTGTGTTGCTGGGACATACAATCCAGGTGTTAACAGGGGTTTCACCCTGGGTTCTGTGGAGCTGACAGCCACTGAAACTTAATCCAGCCTACAGTTGGGGATAGAGCCTGGAGTGAGGGACCCAACACCAAGAGGGTCTTGAACAAGTCCTTGCACCTCTCATACCGGGATTGTAGGCATGTACAATGTGTAGCAGGAGGTACGAAGCAGAAGCTAATGTTATTCCTTGGATGTTCAAACACCAGGAGTGAACTAGCCTTGGTAGCAAGGAAACGCTGGGCTGCAGTTAGGTAGGCCTGAACTATAACAGAATAATACCTGGGAGAAGTGGGAAGAGATATGAAGAGCAGCCTTGAGATCCAACTGGGATTACCAATTAGTGATGCAGATGTTCAATAAAGTCCCCCGAGAAATACTCAGTTTTTGGGTTCAGTCATTCTAGTGTAGGTCTGGAGAAGCTGAATTAAACCACACACACACACACAAAAAAAAAAACAGGGTCTCTAACTTGAGCCAGAATTAAGATTCACTGCCAGAGTTGATGTTCATACCTATAGGCGTAAGTGGTATAGCCTCCAGGAGGTGAAGATCTTAGAATCACAATTCAAAGCCAGCTCAGAAAATCCCATCAAACTTACCTGCAGTTCACCAGCAAGACACCATAACTGGAGCACTAGCTGTGAAGGAAAAAGAACACGGCCTTGAATTCAAGTCCAGTACCAGCACACACAAAATCACTGACTCACCCCTGTGTACCCTATACTTTTGGATAGTAAATACTCATTCTGGCAGGAAGGGAATGATAAAACACTTCCTAGCATAACATTGCCTATCTTGAATTCAGTATCACCCCCTCGCTATCCACCTGTTTTTCAAGTGAAGTGAGACAGAACCACATCTTTAAACTCTACAGCTTCCTCCTTCACTCTATGGGAGATTCTTACCCTGTGCTTTTGCTATACCTATACCCAAACATGCTAAACCAATTGCTCAGGGCACGTTGACCCTGGACTTTTACTTAGATTGTGCTGTGATTTCTTCATGATTCTCTGCCCCTAGGGTAGCAACTGGAGAAGACAGAGACCTCAGGTACATTATTTCTGAAAGTCAGAAGACAGCTGAGGACTCGGGTCAGGTCTGAGCCTCCCTACTTCATGCATTAATGCTTTTTCTGATTTTGCTTGGGCCCAGATTTCTTTTCCCTGCCACCCCCAGTTCCAGGAGGCAAGAGCTTGTTTATTTTAATACCTGGTATGGCACTTGGGAAAGATCACACCTCCCCCGTTGTTACCTATTTCTATCTCCTGAACACTAATCCTAGAATCCAACCAGCCCCCAGACATGGTATTAGCAACAAGGATATTTCTTGAAAAGTTTCCTAGTTGGCTCCAAACTTGCCATCTCGGATTCTCATTTAGCTTTTGCCCTGCCATTTTTGAGTCTGCCAGCCAGAGAAAGGCTAATTTGGGGGTTGGTTAGACCCAGATTCTCAGTTGGGCTTAATTTCCAGGAGCATTATTTAGGGACAAGACTGCCATCTTGCCAGGCACTGGTGGTTCTCACCTATCATCCTAGCTACTCAGGAAGCTGAGATCTGAGGACTGTGGTTCCAAGTCAGACCAGGCAAGAAAATTCATGAGACACTTTATCTCCATCTACCCAACCAAAACCTGACAGTGGAGCTGTGGCTAGAGTGGTAGAGCATTAGCCTTGAGTGAAAAGCTCAGGGATAGTACCCAAGCCCTGACTTCAAACCCAGTACTGACACAAAATTAAATACTGTCATTTCTAGGATCATCCTCCCTTGGGCAGGGCCCCAATACTTGAGCTAAAAGAGCATCATTCACCCCTTCCCACCTGTTAGTATTGGAGAGTGAAGTTTAGGTATGGCCTCTGCCTTTCCTCCCTTATGCCATTCAAACTTCACTTAGAGGTCCTAGGATCATTGGCCAATCAGCTTTTGAAAGCACATCAACTAAGATGGGGAGGAGAGGAATGGAAATAGGCAGGTTCAGATCATAGTCCTTTGTGCCCCACTGCAGTATGTACCTCAAGGGCTGCAGATGGTCTGTGTGTTTGCTCCCCTGGAACCTGAACTGTGAGCTTGTGTGCCAGCTATCAGACATCCATCTTCCCCTGAACCAGAGCCACAAGAGGCTCAAGGACAAGACCTCTCCAACTTTTCCACAGAGGTAAATCTTAATGACAGAGAGCAGTAAACAGGCCCTAGGAACGTACTTTTGATCCACATTAACTTGGCAACCCAAAATAAATTAACTGTACTTTCCGTTCAGTCAAATCCTCTACTTGAAGGTACTATTATTGTTTGGTCTTTTTAAAAAAAGAAACACTGCTTTCAGTGATCTAACTCCTAATCCCAGAAAATTGGGCCTATGGGACCTCACTTCACCCTCTTGGCCTGTTTCCTCGCCACTGCCCACCTGCTGGGCTCCTGTCTACTTCCTGAATATATTTCTCAAGCTATTATAATTGACACAAACCTTCAGTGACTCCTCTGAGTTGACCCCAGCCCCTGGCTCTCCCCCAGTTCCTCAGGTCTGCACACAGGACTGTGGCTTGTCTTTTGGTGCCCCCATTGATCTGTCAGCCCTAGGTCAAAGCCCCTCAGCTAAAGGCTCAATCTTTGTATTCCACGTGTTGTATTGAAGTAAAAGAAGTTCCTCAACCCTGTTAGCCTCAGCTATCTTATCTGTAAAATGGGGGAGATAGAATCTACTGGATGGGGACTGGGAAGGTGGCTCAGTGGTAGAGCGCTTGCCTTGCATGCCTGAGGCCCTGAGTTTGATTCCTCAGCACCACATAAGCAAAAAGAAAAAAGCCAGAAGTGGCGCTGTGGCTCAAGTGGTAGAGCGCTAGTCTTGAGCTGAAGAGCTGAGGGACAGCGCCCAAGCCCAGAGTTCAGGCCCCGCGACCGGACCCCCCCCCAAAAAAAAAGAATCTACTGGATGGAAGGCCTGGGGATTCGATTTGAGGATGTGGGCATGGTGGGGTGAATAGTCAGTGTCAGTGTCCGCTGTTGCTGATAAAATGAGGTGACGATTGTTGTAGGCGCGCGGGTGCCTTCAAGCGTGGTGGTTTTCGCTGGTATCTCTCCCAGTCTGGAGCAGGGAAGGGGACTGCAGCGTTAGAGGAGTGGAGGTCATGTATTGGCAGGGAACCAGCTTGGCTTGGCGCTAGCCTGGTCTGCCTTTCACTGCCGCAGTGAAGGAAGGGTGAGCGTGGCCACCCCGGAGCTCCAGCCTTCGGGGGTGGAGGAGAAGAGCGCGGAGAGCCGGAGCGCAGCGCAGGGCGCACCACCGCGAGGGCGCACACTGGGTAGCTGACCGAACCGGTAAGGGTCAGAAAGATGTGGGGAGGAGAAGGCTGGGGATCTGGGGGGTTGAGGGGATGCGCGAGGCTACACGGACTCGAGGTCTGGAATTGACACCAGAGACCACAGGGCCTTTCCCGTCCCTTGCTTCCCACTCGGCCACATGCTCGCCAGGGAGAGTTTGGGAGGCGGCGAAGGTCGAGGCTACGGATGCAGGAAAATTGGTCCAGGGTGGCCCGAGGGAATGTGTCGGGCTCGGGGACCCAGCGGAATCCGGCTTACCAACCCCCCCTCCTCCTCCTCCGCCCCTCCCCACTACCCGTCCGCCTCCCC